TTCAAAGTTTTTGTTAAGACTTTGTATATTAATATTTAATATTGAAAATGAGACTTTGTTTTGGTGAAAATATTTTGCGGTTTGGGAAATTGAGTAGTAATTACTTTCATATGTTATTTGATCAAAGTATTTTGTATATGTATCTTTATCACTGAGACTTAAATTTTCAGGAGAATATTTTAATTGCAAGTTGCCCTCCATTTAAAAATTAATAAAAATAATAAAAAAAAAACTAAATATAAAGAAAAAAGAATAAAGATACTTATTTAGTGTTCCGATTTAACTCCTTCACAATCAGTTTATCATATGCTAAAACTGCATATTTTCCGGAATTTCTTGCAATCTTCATTTTCTCAATAAGATTACGTCGTATTTTATTTGTTTCTTCCGAAAAGTCCTCGTTTATAAAGATCCCTTTTTCTTTTAGTTTCTTTGCATTTTTCAAGATTATTTCTTTATCTTTATAATTTAACAGTTTAAGTATAACAGTTTTTGGGGTATCCATATTATTATAAACTTTTCCAATTCTGTGTGCCTTTCTATTACTATATTTTTTAGCTGAAGCTGTTCATTAAAAATTGTTTCAATCATCGGGATTAAGAAGAAGAAATCTTTTTTTTTTTTTTTTTTTTTTTTTTTATTGTGATTTTTTACCATTTTATAAACTATTGTTATAATTTCTTCTCTTCACATAATATATAGTCATAAAGAAAAAAATAAATGTATACATATATAAATTGTTAAAAAATGTATTACCAAACACACTGCGTTAAATACAAAGTATATGTTTTATATATATTTTATGATTTTTATCAAATTAATTTTTGACAAATTTGATAAAATAATTTGGTGAAATAATTGTGATGTTGTAAGGAAACTCGCAGAAGACTTAAAGAAGTCTTGTCATCGAGAATCGTTAAAAATAACACAAAAAAATAATTGGAGCAGCTGATAAACTTTAGTTGGAACCAACCAATCCAAAGTGCTATACCAAGTGGAAGCCAGCGACAATAACCAAAGATGGGTCGGAACAAGTAGTTTAAGTGGATGGGGTTCAGCGCCACGTGAAGCATATTAGATCTCGATGTGAAATTCAGCTTTTATGCTTCATTCTGGACGTGGAAAGAGATATGGGCAATAACTGCAAAGAAGTTGTTGAAAACAATGAGGATCAAGTTGAAGGAATTGCTGACATGAGCGAAGTGGACATCGAAGTTGAGGATAGCCGCCAGGAAATATAAATGCTTTTGCAAAAAAGTGCTAGAGAGCGATGCATGCCAAAAAAATTTTTGATTATAATTTTTTAAGAGAGAAGTTCTTATTGAGTTAAAAAATGAAAACATCTTGACTTAATGTTATATTTCAGAGAGAAAACTACAGAACAAATAAAGCATACTTGCACTTCACTTTTCTATTTGCCTAATTGTCATGGCCCAATAAGGGCCGTCCCGAAGAGATTTAAAAGGGGGGGGGGGGTGATGTGTCTGTTTTTTGTCGACTAAAACCAAAAAAATATTTTTTGATTGCTTAAAAAAAAAAAAAAATTTCTCGTTTTCCGATATTTGCCGACTGCCAACTATATATCCAATTTTGCCGACTCCAGTTCCAATTTGCCGACCGAAAATATTTGTAGGGGGCTAAACACCCCTACACCCCCTCAGGACGGCCCTGGGCCCAATTTTAACACAATTGATCTTTTTTTCTATCTTTGAGAAGTCTTAGTTTTAGTTTTGTAGAGTAATATGCTTATAGGAATGGATCCTTTACTTCTTCAGTGACATGAAAAAGAAAAATATTTAACCTGATTTTGTAATCGAGTGACAAGACTTACACTTCTTTTGTTTTGTACTTGTAAAAATGTATCGTTTAGACATACTTTCTTGGTTATCTCTTGTCTTAATATGGCTTTGAATCAACATAATGTTTTTTATCATAACCAAGCATAAAAACAGAGGGGAAGGAGAGAGAGAGGGAGGAGGAGGGGGAAAGTAGCGCCTGGTTGCTATATATACATAACTTTTCGTAGCAACAACCTATCTTTGGTACTTGATTTGCATAATTTTATATATATATTTTTTATAACTGCCAATTTTTAATAATATTATTATAATCTTTACTTGTAAAAAGCTCTAAAGGAGCAACGCAAACTAAATATAAAAAAATTGCATTATAAATTGCGAGAGCTAAAATATTTGTTACAAAAATGCATTGACTAATTGAGCCATCATATCCAGCCTTGTAATTTAGCGTTGCTTTTTTATACTCCTGAGACAAAATATCTTCTCTCTGTAATTCCAACAATCTTTTACAAGTGTTTTAAGATCTAGTTATGGAATATTAACTGAATATTATCAAATATGTTAGTAGGATAGTGTAATTATTTTACAACTCTGATATTAATATCAGAGTTGTAATAACAGTAGTAACAATTAGTAACAATTGTTGTAATAACAGAATTGTAACAATTGTTACATGCTGATATATGCAATTTTGTTACTTGCTGATATATACAAATTCGCCTTTCTTAAGGATTATTTTGAATGTGTTAATTATTAACACATTCAAAATAATCAAAAAATCACATTTAAAATAATAATTATTAACACATTCATAAATAATAAGACAGCTTTTATAAGCTGCCTTTGTTAAGTTACAGTCTAAAAGTTTTACCAAAGCATTAGTCATTGTTGTTTGTTAATTATTTGATTCGAAAATTTTATGAACAGTTTCACTTTCATATTTCTTTTTATTATTGTTCATTTTAATTTTAACCGAAAAAAATATTTTATTAGTTGTACAATTATCAAAGCAATACGATCGTATTCAATCTAATGTTTTTTTTTAAAAATTTAATAAAAATTCATAAACTTCTTCATTACCTCCACACAATGCTTCAGCCAAATGTTAGTATAAAAATGGTGACACCTTTTTATACTAAAAGTATGAAAATTTATATTATATAAAAGTATGAAAATTTATGAAAAAATTATGAAAAAAGCTGCTCTGCTTTTTTAATGTGTGCATCCTGTTATAAATGTCTACATTATCTGCACTTGCAGTTACTGTTTGACATTTGATGAAACCAAATCTGTATAGATAATTTTTTTGTTATTTATACAGCAGCTGAATTAAGTTGTTGCTCTGTATTTTTTTAAAATTAAAAAAGTTTTTGAATAAAAAAAAATTTTAGGGGTCGCTCAAGACATCAAACGGGTGTCTAATATTTTGAATAAAAAAGTTCTTCAAAAGTATATCATGTTGGGTCTCAAAAGAAGTGAAATTTTATAAAAATTTCAAAAAAAATAAATCATTTTATATAAAGATTACTAGTTTCAATTTTATGTCTTTAAAACTATTATTTTTTAACAAAAAATAATAAGTACATTTTTTCAAATATTTTTTAAATAAACTTTTTAAATTTGGGTTTCCATAAATTGTTTTTTTTATTTTTTAAATTATTATAAAATTTCACTTCCTTTGAGACCCTAAATAATATCCTTTTGAAAAACTTTTTTTTTTTCAAAATAATAGGGACCTGTTTGATGTTTAAAGGTCTTGAGCGACCCTTGCAATTTTTTTTTACTCAAAATTTTTTTAATTCAGTGTTAATTTATTACATAGAACATATTTAAGGGGTAGCAGCCGACAATTTCAAAAAAAGTTGTTTTTAGAGGCACTCTAATATATATATATATATATATATATATATATATATATATATATATATATATATATATATATATAATATATTTGAGTTTTTATTGATGAAACACAGTGTTAAATAAGAAAAAATTTTGCTAAGTGATTTTCTACTAATTTATATATATATATATATATATATATATATATATATATATATATATATATATATATATATATATATATATATATATATATATATATATATATGTATATATATATATATATATATATATATATATATATATATATATATATATTTGTATAATCTAGTAATGAAATCAAGACTTTAATCTAATTGGCTTGTAGCCAAGTGGAATTCTCTACTGGCAAACACTTTTGATGATTTTTACTATCTTTTCAATTGTTCCTATCTTGAAAATTTTAATAATAGCTTTAATTATTATTCTACCACTAGTTACATATTAAAGTTTTTTTTAGTTTTGAAATTTTTTTAAGTGAAAAACAATTCATAGGATTTTCTTCTACCCAAACGGCTTGTTTTGGATTTCAAAATTATACATTTGGATGTATGTATTTTATAAAATGCCATTTTGATTTCAGCTGGCTTAGATTCTAGAATGCCTTAGCCTGAAAACATTTCAACTTCAACTCTGCTCCTTTTAAAAACACCAGTTCTTTAGTAGCTCCAGTTCTGGCTCTAAAACCCTGTTTTGTTTAACCTATCTAATATAGGGCATTCAGAAAATTTGCAATAACTAACCATAAAGTGATTTATTGCAGTCTGTAAGTACAGAAGGAACTCCATCCTAGTTGCTTTTTAAACTTAAATTCTGATTTTTTAAACTGGTCTTTAACAGCAGTATCATCAAAAAAAAAGATCCATATAAAAATTTTCAGGCTATTTTGGAAACCTGCCTGTAACAGCATTTCTTTTGAATATACAAAAAAGAATGATTAAAATAAATAAATTTGTTAATCTAGTTTGTTTATTGCGCTTCATAAGTATTATTCAGGCGTTTAATTGTATTTTAATTAATTTTTTTTTTTGTTTAGATATGCATTAGTAACTTAGGTTATCTTTGGATTAAATTTAGAATTACATAAACAAATAAAGAACTTTAAACATTTTTGTTTAAAGTTTTTTGTTTGTTAAGCATTTTAATTTTCTTATTGAATATCTGGATTGTACCATATGTTTTTTGAACTTTACCACTTACCAAAGTCTTTACCACTTACAAACTTTACCACTTACTAAAGTTTAAACTCTGTTTTTTATGTGTTTGAAATTTTTTTTAAGGTAATAAATTTATCCAAAAACAAAACAATTTATATTTTAGTGACCTTAAAGAATTAAAGGAAAAAACTGCAAGTCTACAAAATCAACATGATTTGTTGCTTATAAACCATAAAGAACTTCAAGAAAATTATGACAGCTGCTCCCTTAGGCTCAAAGAACTTCAAGAAAAAGTAAGTTTTTTAGTTAAATAAATGTTTAAATTTCAAAACTCAGATTAAATAAAACATGTTAAATCCACCCTGAAATCCAAACTAGGCTCAATAAACGCTCTAAATCCAGTGTTTATTGAGTCTAAAAGGGAAAAACTGTGGTGTGCATTATGGAATGGGTACAGTGCATAACACAGGCTGTTTAATTTACTGAAAAAGTGGCAGCAATATTTGGATAAAGGCGGTATTGTTGGTTATATATTTATGGATCCCTCTTGACTTGTTTTGGCTAAGTTAAGTGCTTATTGGTTTCCTAATGGAAGTTTTAAACTGTTGTTATCCTACATATCTGCTCGTAAACAGATAGTAAGATTAGAATCAGTGTTGAGTATGTAAATTATTGTTTTATAAATATCAATAAATACGACTTCTGCAACTGTCACAGTTAATTTGTTTTACACAATGTCTTATGTGTGTGGCTAATGGAGATCATTCGATTTTATTTCCTATTGTTATTGTGTTGTTGCATGCGTGTTTTTATTTGCATTTTTGTGTTACCTATATACTTTTTGCTACAATGATATTTAATAAGGTGGCCTGGGGTGGCTGTTCATTTGTAGTTTTGATTGATTTACTGATGTTAATATTGCCTCTAGGTTCAAGTTTGACTTGAAAACCATTTTATATCCTGCCTTCCCAATCATCATATGATTTCATTACATTAGTACCCAATGTAATGAAATCATATGAAATAAAAACATCACCAGTACATATCGTTTGATACGTATTGGTGATGTTTTCAATGTTTTTAGTAGTCACTAGTGAATTTTTGTTTTTTTGTTTTATTTTTTTAATGATTTTTATGAGATTGGACTATTTGTAGCCATTTTCGAAAAATACTTCTATATGTTTTTGGCTGCATATATTAAATGCTCTATGTATGAAACCCTTGAATATTTAATTTAAAGTTTGTGGGTCAATGTTTGATGTTGTCTTAACTTGAATATTAGTAATTGCATTTTTTCTGTGTTTTTTAAATTCATATTTACCATTTTCGTTATTTATTATGCATATTCTAAAAAAATTTAGTGTTATTTTGTCATTTTCAATTTCGATAGTATATTGTATTTTTGGATGCTGTCAAATAAGTATTGTCTTAAATTGATCAGCCTGGGCAATGTTAGGGACTCTGGCATGACTGTCATCGAGTTTGAAAATGACAAAAAAAAAAAAAAATATATATATATATATATATATATATATATATATATATATGTGTATATATATATATATATATATATATATATATATATATATATATATATATATATATATATATATATATATATATATATATACATAATTAGCGCAAATTTAGCGCAAATGTTTTTGTGTGTACTTTTATGTTATATTTTAAAGTTTTTAGCTCTAGTTTTATGCGTTATGTCTGTAGTTTTTTTTTTTTTTTTTTTTTTTTTTTTTTTTAACATCTTCACTTCCAACAAGGCTGCAAGCAACCACTATAAGAATTGGAAGTTACTGGAAGAGAAAAGACTAAATCTGTAGAGCAAGATAACGATTGACTGATGACTTAAAAGATTGCAAATTATATGAATCAGGAAAGCAAGATGAAGGAAGCGAATTCCAAAGAACTGATGTTCGAGGAAAAAAACTAGAAGAATAAGAGTTTTTGAAGCACTTAGGAACAGTCACAGAAAAAGGATGAGACTTAATTGAATGGCGGGTAACACGAGAATGAATTTTAGTAGATGGCACAAGGGACGCTAGCTCTTTAGAGCAGTGCCCATTATAGTATTTGTAGAAAAGAGAAAGAGAAGCAACATTACGACGATGTGACAAAGGTTGGAGATTGGCTGCCAGAGCAGGTCCAACTATGTTTACAATTTGTTTTTGCACCTTGTCTAAAAGAGAAAGAGCATCATTAGAAGATCCGCCCCAGATGTGGCAACAGTATTCCATACAGGGACGGATTTGAGATTTATAGAGATAGAGAATAGAATCTGGAGTAAGAAAGTGTCGAGCTCGATAAAGAGATGCAACCTTAGCAGATGCTAATTTTGCAATGGATTTGATATACGGTTTAAAAGAAAGATCAGAAGTAAGAGTTAATCCTAGAAGATGAATGGTAGATGACTCATCTAGTACATTACCATTCATAAATATAGGAAGATCTAAATTATTACGATAACGATTGGCCGAATAAAATTGAGTTTTATCTGAATTAAAGTTCACCAGCCACTGTGAGCCCCATGCTGTAGCAGAAGTGAGATCCTTTTCAAGCTCAGATACCCCCTCCAAGCAATCAGAGAGTGTAGGCTTCTTATCATGACAAGAGTAAATGGTAGTGTCGTCAGCGAATAATGCCACCTTAGATGTGAGAATATCTGGAAGATCGTTAATGTAAATTAAAAAGAGTATAGGGCCAAGGATTGAACCTTGAGGAACCCCTGAAGTTACAGGATGTGAAGAAGAGTGTTGTCCATCGAGGACAACTTTTATACTACGATTGGAAAGAAAGGACTCAATAATCTTAAAGACGTTACCAGCTACACCATAAGAAGAAAGCTTATGGAGAAGACCAGCATGCCAAACTTTATCAAAAGCTTTAGAAATGTCAAGTGCGATAGCCTTAACCTCTCCACCTCTATCTAATGCACGGTAAAACCTTTCGGTTATTACTGTTAGCACATCAGCTGTAGAACGAGAAGACTGAAATCCATATTGATGATCAGAAAGTAAGTTATTTGATTCAAGATGAGAGATTAAGTATTTGTTGATTAAAGATTCAAAAACCTTGCTTATGACAGGAAGAAGACTAATGGGACGGTAGTTAGATGAATCAGATCGCTCTCCGGAATTTTTGAAAATAGGGATAACAGATGCTGCTTTCCAGCATGATGGAAAACAAGACTCTGATAAGCACTTGTTAAATAGTTTAGAAAGTATGGATGAAAGCTCCGGAGAACACCTCTGCAAGACTACAACAGGAATGTTGTCAGGACCACAAGCTGTTGAAGAGTCTAAGCAGGAAATTACTTTAGATACAGAAGCTGAAGTGATGCGAATGTCAAGCAAGGGATCAACCTGTTTGACGGCTATGTCAGGTAAAACGCAACTAGTGGAATCAAGAGATGATATTGATGAAAAGTTCTTAGCAAACAATTCAGCTTTGTCTTTAGGTGAGGTGAAAAAGCCTGAACCATACAAGAGAGAAGGAATAACAGATTTGCCCTTATTATTGATACTGTTAAAGATTCTCCAGAAGTCTCGAGAGCCTAATTTTTGTGATGAGATACGAGATTTAATGACCTGGGAATAGCGAGCTTTGGCGTCAGACAAAACCTTTTTACAATGGTTTCTGGCGATAGTGAACAGATGTCTGTTTTCTGGAGAATTGTTTTGCTGATAGATATGGAAGTAACGGTTTCGATTAGAAATTGCTGCAGCGCAATGTGAGGAAAACCAAGGAGAAGAGTGAGGCTTGACCTGGAATCGTCAAGAGGGAATAAAAGATTCCATGCCAGCCTGAATCCACGAAGTTATGTAAGAAGCACATTTGTCAGCAGGAAGACGAAAGATTTCTACCCAAGGGCCATCACGAAGAAAATCACGGAAAGAGTCCTAGTCAGCTTTAAGGTAGTTGTATGTGGTACGATGATAGGGGGATTCTGATGAAGTAGAAGAATTTGATAATAGTTTTAGAGAGATCAAACCGTGATCAGAAGTACCTAAGGGTGAATGTGGAGAAATTGAGCACTGACTAGGATCCAAAACAAGACATAAGTCGAGTAGAGAAAGTAAATGATTAGGGTTGTCTGGAAAACGAGTTGGAAAGTTGACTATTTGAGTTAGAGATTGAGAAAGGCAAAAGTTGAGGGCCTTAACGCCAGCAGAGTCACTGACACTAGAGCCAAGCCAATCGGTGTGATGGGCATTAAAGTCACCAACAACGACGATATTGGCCAATGGATAAAGAGAGAGGGCTTGGTCAATTTGATCAGAAATAACATCAAGAATAGTGCAATCTTGGGATGAAGGAGAGCGATATAGAACAAAGAGAAAGGCGATAGAATGAAGTTGTGCTAAACAAAAGCACATAAATGAATAGTCTGTAGATTCAAACCTAGTTTCACGACAAATGGGTGAGTTCTTACGAATGTAGATGCTCAGGCCAAGCATGTGATTATTGGAGTCTTTACGAATTAAAGGAAGATAACCATCAACACTAAGATCACAAGATGGGACAGCCGAACTCAAATTAGTCTCACAAAGAGCAAGTAGGTCTGGTGAACTTTGCAAGAGATAAGACTCAACAGAAGAAAAGTTACTTCGAAGACCACGAATATTAGTAAATGATAGGTTTAGAGGACTTGGTGATGATGATGGTTTTTTGTGTTTTTTAGTTTTAGGTACTTTAGTCATTTTAAATTTATAAAGAACTTGACTCAAGTATAGATAGTACTCAGTACACTATTTAACAACTAAGCAATAGCCTCATTACTATTAATAAACCCTAAGCCGTAACAAAGGGCTCCAAATGTGGCCTCTGCAATGCATACCAAAAGTAAAAACAGGGACACCATCCATGCGCAACATGGCACTGTTAGTACTCTGATATTTTTCGGCTGTTGATGGAATCAGCCTCTCTGAGAGCTACCACAGAGTTCAGGAAACCTGACTACCAGCCGGCCTCAGAACCATAAAACTGAGTTTTAGAGCTGTACCCTCATTAGGAGATAATAGAATGAGTTGCCCAGTCATAAAAATAGAGACACAAGCAATACCCACGCATTGAGTCAAGAAGATCCAGCGTTCAACATCCTAAACTGGAAACAATGTATTAAAAATACATCTGCGCCAGCCTAATAGATGAGGAAGGGGTGCGAGGCTGGTCAACAGATAGAATCTGTTTACCCCTTAAGTCTTTGCCTAGGAGGCCTTCTACAAGACAGCAGCTGGATGCATGTAACATCTGCCCAAGATGAGTATTTTTATCGAGACACCATCTCTAGCCTTTACTCAACCAAGAGCCCCAAGGCAGGGGGTGTTTTAATTCGGAGTTAACTTCTCCTAGCCTTTGCCTAAAAAAGCGTATCCTACAAGGCAGCAGGACATGGAGCAGGTTGTACTGGGTTACATGTTACCAGTAGCAGGAAAACCTGACCTGACCTTAACCTGACCTGACCTGACCTGGTTGTTGTCAATGCGTTATGTCCGTGATTTTTGTCAATAAAAAGTTGAATTGTTTATAAAATTTTATTTATTATAAAAATTGGGAAGTGTACACACATAGTCTGACTTAAACCTGTAAATCAAGAAGGGAGTGTACATACATCGACTGACTAAATAGGTAGAACATGCAGGATGTGTACATACATCTACTAAGGGTTTCAGTTTAAACAGGCAATAAGTTAAAAAAAAATTGTTTTAAAAAGTGTTTAAAAATCAAGGCAAGCACTTATTTTGGTATATTCCGGTCATCAATTTACACAAAACTTCAAACGTCGGAATAGGTTTTTGATTCTATCATCTACCTATATAGTTAAAGTAGCGTATTAGTAGTAGTTTATAGTCGATACTATAAACTATCGACTTACGTCATTTTCTAGGCTTTTCTATTTTAAAGTTGACAGAATTCTTATATCAATTTCTCTAAATTTCACCTAAATGTTAATTTTTTCTGGCCATTGCTTTTGGTTTAAAAAAAGAGTTCAACATCTTTGTCAGCATTCAACAGAGTTCAACATCTTTGTCAGAATTCAACATCTTTGTCAGCAAGCAACTTTTTCTCAATTGAGTCTTTTAGTTTTATGTAAAAGGCATTCAGATAAATTGCCAAATTATTTTTGAATTTCTATTGCAGAATAAAAGTCCATGAAAACGGAAATTCTGTGCAGACACTAAGCAAATTTGTAATAGAGAGCACCATTTTTACCTATATGAATGAAAATGGTAATGCATAAGTTTGTAGAGCAAAAAATACTACCCATTTTAACACCACTAAATTCTTGAAGATCACTTTTTCCATTTTAAAATTATTAAAGGTCTGATTTTCTTTTGCAACTTTATATATAGTTTGAAAAATGTTTGCTGTTACAATTTTCTCATGTGTTAAAGACTTAAAAACATTGTTTGAAAGAGTCTCTTTTAGCTTTTTCTTTTTTCCTTTTAATTTTAGGTTCTCAAAGAAGTCCTTACGGTCTTATCACAGAGCATCGCAAAAGAGCATTTAAAAGGAATTTCATTCCTCCTTCCATAACGGTGTTATTATACTTGCTCAGAAGAAGTATTGAACCAGGGATCTCTAGCTTCTTAGGCAAGCACGCTAACCACTGCGCTACAACCGCTCAAAGGTTTCAGTAGTAGGATTTGAGGCAGGGAGCATTGCTTCAGAAACTCTGCAAGCTAACCACTCAAAAACACAGGCATAAAAATTATCCAACAATATGAAACTCAACACTTTTTATTAAGTTCTTTTGCTTTTCTCATTGCATAGATAATATTCTTGTTGCGTAGATTAAAATTTCTTCTACTATCTTTGATGTAGCTTGATGTCCAGCAGATTCTTTGCAATGAAGCTTGATGTCAATTTTTGTGATTTTTTTAAGTAGCTAACATTATTGGTATTTTTATAACACTTTTTAAATATATCAATAAAGTTATAACTTTGAATTTAAAGCTTCGATAACAGGAAATTCATTAACAATATAATAAAAATTACTGTCGCAAGTAGCTAAAATTTGGTATTCTAAAAATGGATTTTTTTTAAGTAATATAGGCATTATGAATTTAATACTAAAACAAACATTGCATAAAAACAATAGAATTTCTTAAAAATGTGAATGTTTGTAGGATTGACATTCGAAAAAAGTAACAATTTAGCATCATAAAAACAAATGATATTAAGAAAATAAGTTGAAGTTAGTTCTTCTAAAAAAAGTTTGATTTTACTAACGACTAAGAAACAATTGGTTCGGAAACGCAGTGCTGTAATATTTTCAAATCTGCAAAAAATGTTTTACTTGATCTTTACGACCCTCATTTGCATTTTCAATTTCAAGAAATTTAAATACAACTTTTTTTGAATTAAAAATGTTAATTATTTAAAAACTAAAGATCATTAAATAAAAATCCGGGGAAAAAATGTAGGCCTCGGCAGGAAGCGAGAGCTTTAGCTCTCACCCATACTCTCTTAAAATGGTTTACGGGAGCAATTTACGGCTCTTGCAAAAGTGTATTTGTTTCATATAAAAAAATATAAATAGAATAAAAAAGACAAAGTTTGAGTTTCAAATTCAAAAATAAATTAGTTGCATAATAAACTGCAATGGTTTTTAAAAGGCATGGTTTTTGCCAAAAAAAGTAATAATAATAAAAGGAGTGCCAATTGAAATGTAAATGTTTTTTATATAATTGGACTAACTGATAAATATAAAGTTATAATACTCTAAATTATATTGATAAAATATAAAATTTTTCAACTGATAAAATTCAAAATTATTATGCTCTAAATTATTGAATGATATTTTTTATTTTATGTAATGAGTTATATATTTTATACATTAATTTTGCTTCTCTTACTTAATAAAGAGTTATTGTGCTCGCCATTTTCTCTCTCCTGATTCCATCTCTACCTCTACAAATCTCTTATTCCTCCCTGTATGGAATACTGTTGTTGTATTTGGGCTGGTTCTATTAATGATGCTCCTTCTCTTCTAGACAAGGTCCAAAAATGCATTGTTAATGTAATTATAACTGCTCTATCTGCTACGCTTGAGCCTCTCTCCCATCATTGTAAAGTTGCACCTCTTTCTCTTTTCTACAAATACTATCATGGTTGCTGCTCAAAAGAGCTAACATCTCTAGTTCCATTAACTAAAATTCAATCTCAATTGACTCGTAATTTAGCAAACCTCATTCTTTTCACTGTATCTGTCTCTGAATGCTCTAAAAACTTTTATTTGCCTGGTTTTTTTCCTAGCTTTCAAAGCTTTAAAACTTTCTCCCATTTTTGTGTTTTCTTGACTCATACAACCTTCAACTTTTCAAGTCTTTTATCCTTTTTTAAGATTTTATCCTTTTTTAATTTTTGTTATTTTTCAACACTTTGTTTTGGTTTGTATATGAATAAAATGTATGAAAATATTTGTTGAGAGCACAAATTTAAAGCTATTATTTTTGTCTTGTTTCGTTTGGTTTAATAATACTTTTTTTATTTCTTATTTTTTAGTATGATATTTTACTTTCCAAAAATAATGAAGACACAATTGTAATTGAAAATAACAAGGTGGAAATAGAAAGTCTTCAAGCTCGCCTTTCAGTTTTAAAATCTTCAGAGAGTAAGTTCTTACTTTTTAGTTATTTAGCAAAATATTTTAAGATAATTGAAGGTGAGAAATGTAAACTTTTTTTCTTCTTCTTCTTGAAAAAGATCCCTGCATATTGTAAAGTTCACCCATATACCTTTGTAAACATATTTTTTTACTTATTTTTTAATATTTATTCACCATAATTTATTTTATTTTAAATTGAATATTTACATACAAACAAATTTTCTCACTTTTCCAAATTGTTTTGAAAGCGTTTTTCCATTGTTCTCTGGCTAGTATGGCTTGTTGTGTGGCTTGTTGTAAACATATTTAAACTCACTTAGTCAAAGTAAATATTAAGTAAAATTATTTATATAATTACAAGTTATAGTTGTAAATATATGACACTACTTATAAAGTGATGGGCAATAATTAACTATAATTTGACTAATTTTTATTCTTGAAAATGTTATTTAAAAAAAATTTGTTAACTTTTTTTGACAATGACTGATTTATTAAATCTCTCACTAAACAATGACTGATTTAGTAAATCTCTCACTTATTAAATGCTCTTTCAAAAAATTTATAAAAAGACTTGTAATGTATAAAAAACAATAGTAAATTTATTTGTGGTGCAGCAGTAAATTTATTTGTGGTGCTGCAGTAAATTTATTTGTGGTGCAGCAGTCTAGTGGTAGAGCACCTGGCTCACAATCTTTGAACTAGAAGTTTAATGGCTTAATTCTCTATTTCAAGGTTCAAATCTAAAAGTACTGTGCTTAGTCTGTTTTTCTGCACAGCCACTCTGTTAAACAAAGTTTAGGCATTAGAGTTTAAGATTATGTGAAATAAAAAAGTAGTCTTTTTGACTATAGTAACCTTCTGGAGCCTTAGAAAATTAAATTTAATAATGATAATAATATTAATAATAACTATAATAATACTAAAATTTTTTTTCTGATTCACTTTCTGAGTTATTAACTTTTTTATTACAAATTTCTGTTTTGAAACACTTTTTTTATATGGTTGAATAAAAGAGAAGTAATTTCATTATTGACTGACCTAATCCACTAACCCTTTTGTTGTTGTTAAAAGATCAAATTGTGCACGTTTATTAATTTTACCAAATGTTAATCATACATATATCAGCAAGTTTTTTTTAAGGTCTCAATACTATATATGCATCAAAGTGTATCAATTTTTCTCAGGATAGGATTTAAGAGATTAGAATGTCATTTTTCTTCTTTTTTGAATATGTATAAAAAAGTGCAACATTAATCAAAATGTTTTGACTTTCTGTTTTAGGTTTCAGTTATTTTGTGTTCAGATGTTTTATGATAAATATTTTAGTAAAATACTGTTTTCTTTGCATTATTTATTTACTTTTTGAGAGTAATAAATTCGTTTAAATTTTGCAGATGGTTGTTATTATTTTGCTCATTCTAGTTTATTAACTTGCAGTTAAAAAATTTAGACAGACAGCATAAGTTGTTAAATTATCAAATATCAACTTTATATCTTTTAAAAGTTGTCTTTCACATTTTCACCAGATCGATTTTTTTTGTTAATCTTATTAAGAAGAGCAGTGAGTAAAAATTTCATCAGAGAATACATGAAACTTTTTTATAATCTACAAAAGATTTTAGGTGACATTTTTATTGATTTTTAATGGTTAAGGACCATTTTGGGACTACTGTGTGTAGTTAAGGTTACTCACTTTAAAGCTTTAAGGTTACTCGTTTTAATTGTATGTTGTTATTAAAGCTCAACTTTATAATTTAGAAAGGTGAACCCTGACAAACAAGGTTGCTGCACTGAGAAAAAAAGCTATACTTCCAGGGATGTGGTGGGAGTTGAGGTGATTACCAGTTGTTTATGTAGTGAGTGCACTATCACTGCAACATTACCATGCATTCACAAATCCGTTACCCTTCTTTTTATAATAACTTGGTTAAAACAATAAATAATTTCATAAATTTAAACATATATCTTTTTTTTCTCTATACATGTATATTTTATAATCAAAAGTTTATAAAATTTAGTTTAATTTGTAGGCATTATTGAAGATTTAAATGAAAATGTTAAAACACTAAACTCACAGTTGGAGAATGAAAGACAAACTCACAAGAATGAACTTGAAAAAGTAACAGAAAGCCATGATAACCAAGTAGCTTTAATAAACCAAACACATGCAGACAAGGTAGAAGCTATACAGAAAGACCAAGAAAATCATGTAGCTTTATTAAAAGAAAAACACAAAATAGAGGTGGAAAAAATAGTTAGTGAAAAGAATGAAAATGAAAAGTTATTAAAAGAACATCACAAAAAAGAAGTTGATGAGTTAACAAAAGCAAAACAAGATCAAGAAATATCACTAAAGCTCGCTCATAAAAATGATGTTGAAGAATTGACAAAAGTTCTCAAGGATACAGAAACTTCATTAAAGATGATACATAAAGATGAAGTTGAAAGTTTAAAAAAAGAGCTTGTAGATCAAGAAATTTTGTTAAAAAATGCCCATGAATCAGAAGTAAATATATTGAAAAAAGAGCTTGTAGACCAGGAAGTTGAATTAAAAAATGCCCATGAATCAGAGGTTAATATATTGAAAAAAGAGCTTGTAGACCAGGAAGGTATATTAAAACATGCCCATGAATCAGAGATTAATATATTGAAAAAAGAGCTTGTAGACCAGGAAGGTATATTAAAACATGCTCATGAATTAGAAGTTAATAAATTTAAAAAAGAACTAAAAGATCAGGAAGTTTTTTTAAAAACATCACACGAAAAAGAAGTCAATAATTTGAAGAATGAGCTTAAAGAACTCAACACTGTATTAGAGGAATCAAATGAAAAATATGCTGAAAACTTAAAAAATGAACTTGAAAATCAAGAGTTTATGCTTCAACAAGAGCACACAAAAAATGTAGAAAGTTTAACAAAAAATTATGAAGATAAAATCTTTCTATTAGAATCAAATCTTGAGGAATGCAAAGTGAAAATCAATAATATTAATAAGGAAGTTGAAGTACTTAAAAATGATTTAAATGAAACAAATAAAGAATTATCTACAACAAATGATTTGCTTAATGATACTAGGTAATTTTTATATGTTTTTTTTAATCTTTTTAATTTCTTTTGACTTTTAAGTATATGAATACATACATTCACTTTATATAATGTAAGAGTAATCACATTTATAGGTAAATTGTTTTACACATAAAGTTTATTTGAATTATTAATTAAAATAAACATTCAAATATAGTTGAAAAAAAAGTTTAAAAGTTGCAGAAATGATTAATTGTTGCTGAGATCCAGACTGAGGAACTATTTCAATTGATTTCATCACAAAATAAAGAATGAATATATTGTATATTGGATTGATAAGAATCTGGTAGTTCAGATGATTTCATGAATAACATCTTTATGATATCTATAATATTCTTAACAATACTTCCTTGTTTCCATACTCCCTTACTTTAATACTTCTTTTTATCTAAATAAGATGAAAGATCTTGAGTAAATTTCAAAGCTATGTACAAAAGATTATAGATAGCATATGTAGACTTCATAGCTAATAAATATTTAAATGTTCTACTTTTTGTTTATGGTAACTTTATTATATGTGTTCATTTTTGAAGCAGTAAGTTGTTATGAAAGAATACCTGTTTATATTTAAAGTAGTAAGTTCTTAAATGTTAACCTAATCTTTCATCATTAACCTTACTGACTTTTATTTGATTTGCTTTTTATTAACATCAACAATGCTGTTATTTTTGTTAAGATTTTTATTTGTAACAAAACTGTTGCAATTGTAAAGGTTTGTACTATGAAAATTTAGTGTTGTTTTATTATGATCTTTATTGTTGATTCTTACTGTGAAAATCTGGTGCTACCTTATTGTCTTAATAATCAAGATTTTTTGTAATTTTTTTTTTTGATAGTTGTTGCAATTAAGCAGGATAAACATTTAGTATAATAAATAATAAACATAAAAAAATAAAATGGGTTGATTCAAGTATATGTATAGCTCATTAATTAGGAGGCTGTGCTCTATCTATGAATGAGTCAAGTTCTCATTAAACCCAAATCATGACCAAAGTAACCAAAAATTTAAAACCTAAAAAACCATCCCCATCACCTAAATATTTTAATATATCTTTTACAAATATTCGCGGTCTACGAAGCAACTTTCCATCAGTTGAGTCTTACCTCCTTCAAAATTCACCAGACTTGCATGCACTCAGTGAAACAAATTTAAATTCTGCAATTCCTTCTTCAGATGTCAGTGTTGATGGGTCCTTTGATTCGTAAAGACTCCAATAGTCACATGCTAGGTTTAGGGGTATACATACGCATTAATTCCCCTATTTGTCGTGAAATCAAGTTCGAATCCTTTGACCATTCTCTTATGTGCTTTCGCCTAGCACCTCTTCACTCTATCACCTTTCTCTTTGTTCTTTATCGTTCTCCTTCTTCCCATGATTGCACTCTTTTAGATGTTATCTCTGATCAAATTGACCATGCCCTCTCTCTTTACCCCTTTGCCAATATTGTTGTTGTTGGTGATTTTAATGCCCATCACACTGAATGGCTTAACTCTAACACCACTGATCCTGCTGGCACTAAAGCCTTTAACTTCTGCGTTTCTCAATCTCTTACTCAGATAGTTAACTTTGTGACTCGTTTTCCTGACAACCCTAATCATTTATCTTCACTCCTTGACTTATGTCTTGTCTCTGACCCTAGCTTATGTTCAGTTTCTCCCTTTTCTCCTTTAGGTGGTTCTGACCATGCAATGATCTCTATAAATCTTTCTTCTCGTACTTCTTTTTTGGGCTCACAATATCATCGCACCACCTACTACTACCCTAAAGCTGACTGGAATTCCTTTTGTGATTTTCTTTGTGATGGTCCTTGGGCTGATGTTTTTTTTCTCTCAGCTGACAAATGCGCCTCCTACATAACCTCCTGGATTCAGGCTGGAATTGAAGCTTTTATTCCTTCTCGTTGGTTTCAAGTCAAGCCTCATTCTACTCCATGGTTTTCTCCTTCTTGTGCGGCTGCTATATCCAATCGTAATCATTTTTTTCATCTTTTTCAAAAGAACAACTCTTTTGAGAACAAACGGCTATTTATTATTGCAAGAAATCGATGTAAAAAGGTGCTTTCTGATGCTAAACTCCATTATTCTCAGTACACTAAATCTTGCATCTTATTGCAGAAGTTAGGCTCTAAAGATTTTTGGAAAATCTTCAACAGCATTATTAACAAGGGTAGATCTAACATTCCATCTCTTATTCATGAGACTGATCTTATTACCTCTCCCTAGGATAAGGCAGAACTGTTTGCAAAGAACTTTTCTTCTAATTCCACTCTTGAATCTTATGGACATTTTCTTCCTTCCATTCCAGTCAAACAGGTTGACCCATTGTTAGACATTCAAATCACTCCGGCTTCTGTTGCTAAAGTCATATCTCAATTAAACTCGTCTACAGCTTGTGGTCCAGACAACATTCCTGTCACAGTCTTGCAGAATTGTTCTCCAGAACTTTCTTCAATTCTCTCTAAACTATTTAACAAGTGTTTGACTGAGTCTTGTTTTCCTGCTTGTTGGAAAATGGCATCTGTGGTTCCAATATTCAAAAACTCTGGAGAAAATTCTGACCCCTCCAATTATTGACCGATCAGTCTTCTTTCTGTTATTAGCAAGGTCTTTGAGTCTTTGATTAACAAATTCCTCACATCTCATCTTAAACTACTGTCAGACAATCAATACGGTTTTTGATCCTTTCACTCTACGGCCAACTTGCTAACTGCTGTAACTGAAAGATTTTATCGTGCATTAGATGGAGGCGGTGAGGCTAGGGCTATTGCTCTCGACATATCTAAAACTTTCGACAAAGTTTGGCATGCTGGTCTTCTCTATAAGCTTGCTTTATATCGTGTTTCTGGGAAAGTTTTTGAGATTATCAAATCATTTCTTTCTAACCGGTTTATTAAAGTCATCCTTGAAGGCCAACACTCTTCTTTATTTCCAGTAACTTCTGGGGTTCCCCAAGGTTCGATCCATGGCCCTGTTTTGTTTTTTATCTACATAAACGATTTTCCTGACAACCTTTTATCTAAAGTAGCTCTTTTTGCTGATGACTCAACTTTATACTCCTGTCTTGACAAAAAGTCTTCTATTATCGATCGCCTAGAACAAGCAGCTGATCTTGAATCTGATCCCACTTCAGTAATAGATTGGGGTTCACAGTGGCTTGTGAATTTCAACTCTAAAAAAACCCAGTTGCTTACTGCAAACAACTACTGTAATATGGTCAACATTCCTATATTAATGAGTGACAATCCTCTTACTTAGTCCTCCTCTTTACATCTTCTTGGATTATCGCTTACTACTGACCTTTCATGGAAACTATATATACAATCGATTGCTAAATTAGCTTCTGCTAAGGTTGCTTCTCTTTATCGTGCTCGCCATTTCCTTACTTCTAATTCCATTCTCTACCTCTACAAATCTCTTATTCGTCCCTGTATGGAATACTGTTGTCATATTTGGGCTGGTTCTTTTAACGATTCACTTTCTCTTCTTGACAAGGTCCAAAAACGCATTGTAAATGTTGTTGGACCTGGACTACCTGCTAAGCTTGAACCTCTTTCCCATTGTCGTAAAGTTGCATCTCTTTCTCTTTTCTACAGATACTATCATGGTCACTGCTCAAAGGAGTTATCTACTCTAGTTCCATCAACTAAAATTCATTCTTGTTTTACTCGTCATTCAGCTAAGTCTCATTCGTTTACTGTATCTGTCCCTGCATGCTCTAAAATTTTTATTTATCTAGTTTTTTTCCCCGCACGTCAATCTTTTGGAACTCTCTCCCATCTTCATGTTTTCCTGACTCATACAACTTTCAACTTTTCAAGTCTTCTGTCAACCGTTTCCTTGCTCTATAACTCTGTTCTTTTTTTTCCTAGTAACTCCCAACTTAATAGTGGTTGCTTGCAGCCTTGTTGGGAGTGAATGCAAATAAAATAAAAAATGTGCAAACAAGTAGGTGAATTTGTTTGTATTTAAAATTGTACTAAAGACTTTTTTTGAAAGGGAGATTTTCTAAAGCAAGAAAAATCTTCAAGCTTGGGCTCACAAATATGAATTTCTCGAAGTTAGGACCCACTTTCATTGGGCAAACTGACTTGTTTATCTGTCACTGCATGAATTTATTTTGAGCTAAATTAAGTTATTATTGTCATAATATTAAACTTAAACATGTTATTATTTTTTAATAATTTTGTTTTTAATAATATTTAATAAATATAAATATTTTTTTAATAATATTTGCAAATCTATTTTTATGTTTATTAATATTGAGTTTGAAAATTGTTAAAATGTTTTACAAGTCTCTATAATAATCTTTACATTGAATCAATTATTTCTGAATTAAATAAGTTTTTTACAAAGACTCTGATTGGTTAAATAATTTTGTTTATTGTTTCATATTACAACAAGATCATGTGAGATTCTATGCATTATATTTATAGAATAATTTATTTAGTAATAATTATATTATTATTTTTACAATTATTATAGAAATACATTGGATAAACAAAATGCAAATGTAATATTATTGGAAACAGAGAGGATTGCATTAAAAGAAGAAATTGTGGTATAAATAATATTTTCATATTTTTCTTTGTTGTTTTCAATGTTATTTTTTTATTATTAAGAATGTTTGTTAGATATTAATTAAATATAAAGATAAGTATAGATGTAACAAATAATAATAAATATTATAAAAATTAAAAATGGTTTTTATATATTCCTGACAACTTTAAATATTTTTATTAAAATCCTAAGGAAGGTTAGAGTAGCAGCGCTCTGAATTAGGGTTGGTATTCAGCAATGCCAACCTAACTGCCAACCTTAAAGTGTTTAAGAATGGCAAAAAATTGCCAACCTCATTTCTATGTTTTATGGTAAGACCTTTGTATCAATTTATTTTTACCAACCTGATGCCAACCTTTAAAAGATTGAGGTCAGCAAATTATTGCCAGCCTCATTTTTCCTAATTCCAAGGGTTGAAGTAGGTTGTTTTGCTTTTTCATTATTTGTTAATAACATTATCAGTGGTTTTTCTATGTTGACATTGCATATGTTTCATGTTTCAGTATCAACAAATGTGATGACTTGTGTTAGTTTGGACCATCATGACTTTTTGTGTAATTATACAGTTAATTAGGTGATCGTCTTTTAAGGTTATGTTTATTAACCCAAAAATCACAAAGATTAAGCCATGCATTTGAAACTGTAAATAGCAATCAGTAAATAGTATAATTTTAAAATATTATTTAAAGATATAATAAAATACCGATATGATAAGTTTTGATTAAAATAAAAGAATAAAATAATTAAAAAATAAAAAATGGTTTTGTTCTTGAAGTTAAATTTTTTTTTAAGTTGTTTTTTCAATTTTATCTAATAATTTTTGCAGTATTTTTAAAATGTTTTAAGTAGTTGTTTAAAGTTTAAATTAACTAACCAAGTGTTTATTATGATTTATTTTTAAGGTTTTGATTGATTTCTTGTTTTGTTTTTTTATTCAAGTTTGCTTTTAAAAACACTCAGATTTTCTCCAACTTAAAAGAAGTTAAAGTTATTTTTTTAACTTTTAAAGTTAATAATAGATATCTATTTTTACACACTGGGTAACAGCTAGGTAACACTGGGTGCTCTAAATATGTTTTACCAGTTTTTAGGTCACATTATATTACTTAGTTTAAGGAACTCTCATTGTATTATCAGGCTGTCAAGTCGTCATTTTTTTCATTTTTTTCATTTTTTTGGGTTCTTTTTTTTTTCTTTATTTTTTTTCATTTTTTTGTTAGTTTTTGTCATTTTTTCATTTTTTTCTTGAATTTTTTACACTTTAAAGTTTTTTTTAAATGCTTAGAATTGCTGTTTTTGATATTTTTAAGTTGTTTTAGACATTATGTTACTTAGTTTTTTATTTAATTTTCAAAACTATTTTATAATAACAGTTACAATCTTTTATGTTCACATTTTAATTTTAATTATCCATTTGTATTGCTAAATTGGTGTTATTATTTTTAAAAATAAATCATTCTATAGTATAGAACTAGTAAAGTTAGTGATTTTTATATTTAGTTTTTAGTATATTTATCAATAGATTATATAGTATAATGGTTAAGTGGAATGATGTGTGGTTGGAAAAGTTAGACAAAAATCTAGTGAAAATCCAATTATGGGCTGAAAAAAGAAACTCTGAATATGCTATCTGCAAACTATGCAAAAGTGATTTAAAATTCAGTTCAGTTGGTTTCCAAGCACTATATCAGCATTCTTCAAAACCTAAACATAAGTCAGTGTCTGATCTAAGAGTTTCAAAAACTGCTCGTCATTTATATGTAGATTCTAACAAAAACTCGATTGGGGGAGAAAAAGTTATACAATTAGAGTTCTCTATAAATGAAAAAATTTCTGCTGCAGAAGCCATGTGGCTTTTTAAAGTGGCAGAGAATGATCTTGCCTTAAGACATTGTGACAACACACCAATATTGTTCCAAAGAATGTTTCCAGATAGTAAAATAAGTCAAGGTTTTACTATGAGTCGGCAAAAAGCTTCATATATTTTGCAAGATGGCCTTGGGCCATTGTTGGAAAAGTGTTTATGTAATAGTATCGCGTTAAGTCAAGGTGCATTCACTTTAATGTTTGATGAAACAACTATTTCATAACAAAGAAAACAAATGGATCTTTTATGTCGTTTTTGGTCAGAAGACGAAAACCAAGTTGTTACAAAATATTTAACATCGCTGTTCTTTGGCAGAGCAACAGCAGAAGATGTCAAAACAATGCTAGCAGATTTACATCATAATGAAAGGTTTTATTTACCATGGGATCGTCTTTTTAATATTTCAGCAGATGGTCCTAATATTAACAAAGCCATTTGGAGATTGTTAAATGCTGATCTTCATAGTAATGGTTTTAATGGCTTGTTACCATTTGTAAGTTGCACTTTGCACACAGTGCATAATGCTTTTCGAAAAGCAATTAATGTTGTCGGTGAGGATGCTGAGCAGCTTGCATTTGATTTACATAACTGGTTCAAGGTAATGATTTGTGTAATTTTATAAAGTAGAATCCCATTAATTCAGACCCTGGATAAGTTGGATTTGTACTAAGTCGGACAGATTTTCAATTTCCTTTATATACATACAAAAAGCTTAGCTTGTTTGGACATTCGCTAAGTCAGACTATTTATCTATTCCCTATGAGAGTCTAACTTAATGGGATTTTACTGCAGTTAATACTAAAAGAGAATTTTTTATTTTACCTATGAAGTTATTTTTCTTACATTATTATTATTTTTTATTCTAATAGTCTATTATGCGACTAGCTAATAAAGTGTAGTGTCTCTATAACTTTTTTCTGTTTTAGAATGTACCCTGTAAAATAGAAGATTTTAAAAAATTATCAGATTGCATTTTTATTGAAGATGAAACATTGTTTCTTCGTTTTGTCAATACTAGATGGCTCACTCTTTCTTCTTCACTTATAAAGGTTCTATTAAGGTGGGAAGACACCAAGAAATATTTTTTGGAATATATTCCAAAACAAAAGGAGTATAAAAAGACACTGACAAACAACAAGCGTTATATTTGAATTCAAAGAAGTCTTAGGGAAACTGAAAATGTAATTAAAGTTATTCTTTTTATTATTTTTTTTTTGAATTATTACATATAATAGAGAATTGATTATTTTAGGAGTTACTTGTGTCCATCAAATTCCTTATTGGTTTAGCTCCCTTGTTTGAGAAATACTTGACAATATTTCAAGATGAAGGACCACTTGTTCATATTTTATTTTATAAAATGAAAAATCTTTTAATATCTTTAATGAAACGTTTCCTTCAACCGACTGCTGTTAATGGAAAGCTTACTAAAGATCTTTTAAAAATTGATTCTTCTGATTCAACTATCCACCTTGATTTGAATAAAATGGACTTTGGCGAGGAAGCTAAAAACCAGGTAATTTTTGATAGGTACACATTTGCTACATTTACCAGTTGCACATTTACTACCTGGTTAATGTGTACTTGGTAATTATGTATAAGTGTACTAGACAATATAAACCATTTTGTTTATTGTATCTATATTTTATTATTAAAAATTAAGTTTTTTTATTCATTTTCATTGATGCAGATTTTCAATATAAATATGTTTTAGGTGAACAAAATATCATGTGAAAAAAAAAGATTTGTCTGCTTACAGCAAATGAGAGATGGATATATATCTGTTGTAAAACACTTGCAAAAAAAACTTCCACTTGATTCGCAGATATTAAAAGATATGACTTGTTTGGGTGCTCAAATGAGATCAGAACCTTGGACTGTTAATGCAATTGGGCGAATAGCAGTTACGATGCCACATGTAATTACGGAAAGGGAGGTGAATATTTAAATAAATTTATATTAAATAACTAATAATATATATATATATATATATATATATATATATATATATATATATATATATATATATATATATATATATATATATATATATATATATATATATATATATATATATATATATATATATATATATATATATATATATATATATATATATATATATATATATATATATAAACATAATTTCTGATTTGTAAATTAAACTAATAATAAGTAAATTTTGAAAATTTTAAATAGTATAAGTATTTATATTGTTAACATAATCTACTATATAGTTAAAATAGCAGAGTACATTAACCATATAAATATATTATTTAACATTTTCAAAATTTACTAATTATTATTTTAATTTACAAATTAGAAATTGTTGTTTGTAAATTATTAGTTAACGAACTATTTTAATTTTGATATAATTAAATTTTCCTTTAATTTCAAATGTTAACACTTTCTCCATAACAATTTTATTTAATTGTTGTACAGGTATCATTTGTGAAAGATGAATGGAAATTATACCAAGCAGCTAATATATCAAAAGACTGGTATATAGATTTTGATATAAAAAAACTAAAAAGAGTAGACCTTTAGTAGGTCTAAAGTTTTTGAAAGTAACAATGAATATGGAAAAACAAAGTATGGGTATCTCAGTAAAGTTGTTAAGAGCTGTTTAACAATTCAGAATGGAAATGCCAGTGCTGAGCGAAGTTTATCTGATAACAAAAATACATTAACTCCTGAGAGAGTAAATCTAAATGATGAAACATTAATGGCTTTGAGAATATCAAAAGAATATGCAAGAAGTTGCAGAGGAGCATATAATGTTGATGCACTCTCCAAAGACTTTGTTCAAGCTGTTCAAAATGCTCATAAAATATATAAAAAAAGAAAAGCTGAAGAAGACGAAGAAAAAAGAAAAAATTATATTCATGAGCAAGAACTAATGAATAAAGAAAAAGAGCAGAAAGAAATGCTTGAAAAAGTTGAAAATAAAAATAAAAATTTAGATCAACAGGAAAAAAGTCTAAAGAATGATGAAAAAAATGCAGATCTTGAGTTTCAGCTTGCTCAGAGAATGCTCGATGAAGCAGCAAAATCCATGCAAAGTGCCATTATTAAGGAAGACATGATGGGTATAAAAATTGCCCATGAAATGGTAAACAGCGCAAAAAGAAGTCTTGAAAATGCTACATCTCATAGAAATGAACAGACAAAGTTAAGAGAAAATATTGGTTTAAAACGTAAAAGTGAAATGGATAGATTAATTAAGCGTTGCAAAAAGTTAAAGTAGTCGTTAAAAGTTTGAAAGTTTTTGTAAATATAATAGAGCTTGAACTGTTAGTTCAGTTATAATTATTTAGCAAAATTTATTTATTTATGCTAATTATTTTAGACTTTAGAAAAAACGTTTTATTCTGTGTTAAACAACAAAAAGATGTCGAGGTTTTCATTTTTAAAAGAAATTATTGATGGCGGATGATTTTGTTTGTTATTTTGTTTGTTATTTTCAAAATAAAATTATTGAACTTTTCATTTTTATGATGAAATCAGTCATTTTTTTTCATTTTTTGTCATTTTTATTCTCAAAATACCGTCATTTTTTGTCATTTTTTTCGAAAGTTGCTGCTTGACAGCCTGTATTATTGTTATTGAAAAAAAGTTGTTGAATAAAAAAATTGTTGTATAAAAAAGTTGTTGAATAAGTTATAAGAAAATGTAAAAAAATGAAAAATAAAAAAATGTTTCACATTTATGATTTTACACTCGTGTGGTTTAGAGGGTTTTTTATATTGTTTTTTTTTGTTTATATATGACATGATGGAAGAATTAAAGCAACTATTTATAACCGCTTGTTCTTTCTGTTTTCCAGATCGGGGCTGAGTATTGTGAAACAACTACCAATATTTACTGCTAAATTTTAGTGTTCTTCTCCTAGATAAATTACTTTCAATGTTGTTTACTTTCACCTGCCCCACAACAATTTTATATAAGGTTTCTATAATTACAAGTTACATAAATTTTAAAAAATTTGTAAAAACTTTCAAACTAAAGCTATTGGACAAGTTATAAAATAATTTGTTTACTCTTTGAAACTACTTATTTAATTTATGAACTCTTTTTGCTTTTAATTCCTTTTAAACCTACTTAATTAAACTGGAAAAATACAAAGTTTTAAAACATTAGAGGTTAGTAAATGTTGAAAAATCTTTATTAATTAATGTTTTTTTTTTTATTTGTATTGATTACACAGGCCAACAAAAAAAAAAATTTCTGGTGCCGAGCAAACAATTTGTTTTTTTATAGTATTTCTCATTTTGATTTCAAATATGCAACTCATTTTTCACCATCACGTCAAGTTGTAAAGATATTTTGGTTCAAATCTTTAGTATTTGGGGTAAAGTCCCTAATATTGTCAAAAAAAAAGTTATTCAAAAGTATGTCAACTAGGGTCTCAAAAGAAGCGTATTTTCATAGAGATTTTGGAAAACATAAATATTTAAAAAAAAAAATTATTAACAAAAAGATTATGTAAAAAAAATGCTTAAGACTCTTAAAAAAATTTTAACAAAATGTTTTTCAGCTATAATACAATAATTACTTATTTTTAAACAAATAACATTTTTGAAATCTCTATAAAAATACGCTTCTTTTGAGACCCAGGTTGACATACTTTTGAATAACTTTTTTTTTGACAATATTAGGGACTTTGCCCCAAATACTAATGATTTGAACTCAAATATCTTTGCAAATTGACGTGATGGTGAAAAATGAGTTGCAAATTGACGTGATGGTGAAAAATGAGTTGCAAATTGACGTGATGGTGAAAAATGAGTTGCAAATTGACGTGATGGTGAAAAATGAGTTGCAAATTGACATGATGGTGAAAAATGAGTTGCAAATTGACGTGATGGTGAAAAATGAGTTGCAAATTGACGTGATGGTGAAAAATGAGTTGCAAATTGACGTGATGGTGAAAAATGAGTTGCAAATTGACGTGATGGTGAAAAATGAGTTGCAAATTGACGTGATGGTGAAAAATGAGTTGCAAATTGACGTGATGGTGAAAAATGAGTTGCAAATTGACGTGATGGTGAAAAATGAGTTGCAAATTGACGTGATGGTGAAAAATGAGTTGCAAATTGACGTGATGGTGAAAAATGAGATTTGAAATCAAAATGAGAAAAACTATAAAAAAAACTAATTGTTTTCTCATCACCAGAAAAATTTTTTTTTTTGTTGGCCTGTGTTATTTATAACTTTGTATTTTTTCTTATTGTGTTAAGTATAATTTAATGGTTCTCAATGTTGTCAATTTAAAAACTATATATTATATTGTAATGTAATGATCATTGAAACAATAATTTTCTGTACACCCCATTATAACACTAATCCTCTGTACAGCCACCCCGTTATAATAATAATCCTCTGTACAGCCACCCTACTATAACACTAATCCTCTGTACAGCCACCCTATTATAACACTAATCCTCTGTACAGCCACCCCATTATAACAATAATCCTCTCTACAGCCACCCCATTATAACAATCACCTGTAACAATTAATATATTTTATCTAGTTATGATTGTTGTTGCTTAACTTCAGGTTCTTCATGGCATTGATGAGGAAAAAAGCAATTTGATTTTGAATTTACAAGATAAACTTTCAGAGGTTGAGATTTTGTTGTTACAAGAAAAAGAGTTGTGCCATAAGCAAGAAAAGGTTATTCATTTATTTGATAAGTTAATTTAGTAGGAAATCTAATGGGTATAGTATACAATAAAATATATTTTTGTGTGTGTTTTTTTTTTTAATTTTTTTTTTAATTTTATTTCACCTCCTCAAGGCCGAGAAGGCCACTACAGACGAGGAGGCTACTTATTTTGCGGCTATAACCCTCTCTCAACTCTATAACTCCGAAACACGAACCTTGACGAACAAGGCCGCTGTGCGGAGAAACGAGTTGAGCGCGGTACTTCCAGGGACGTGGTGGGGATCGAACTCGGAACCACTCGTTTATGAAGCAAGCGCTCTACCACTACACCACTACCGCACAGTTTAAAATATATAAAATAGTCAGATATTGTTTGGTTGATTTTTATTTTTAAATCATATCATTAATTTAGAGTTCTTATTTTTTTTAGACATTTTTTATGATGCTGTTTTTCTGATATAAACTTGAGAATTTTCTGATATGAATTTGAGAAGCTTTTTAATGTAATTTGTATTTCTTCAAGTTTTCCTACATTTATTTTTTATCTTGTTATACTCTATAGCACTTGTTATACTCTATAGCATATTTCTAATCTCTCTATATTTCTAATCTCTGTCTAAGTCATTACTTATTTTCTCATCTTTTAGATTCATACCACACAATCATAATCTTCCCTGTTTTTTTAAAATGCCAGACACAGTCAGGCTTAATTTCTTGTTTTTCACTACTATATATCAAAACTTGGTACATTCTTGACTTTAAAATGCATACATTTTGCCTTATTTATATTAATCCTAAAACCTTTTGTTTTTATTTAAATCCAAATTTTGTAATCTTTTGTCTCTGTAATTAGGTGTAAATCAGCTGCATAGAACCCCATGGTCACACCAACACTAAACTTTTTTTAATAAAAACTAATAAAAAGCAAACAACTAAATTCTGTTCCAACATTTACTTGAAAAATCACTCTTTCATTTTTTATTTTGATTGTTATTATGAAATTTTCATACATAACCATTATAACTGTTACCAGTCATTCTCAAACACCTAAATAGCTAATAAAATTATTTCAAGGTCCTCAAATCTTGTCCACACACTTTATGTGTCCACACACTTTATTTACTTTTTCAAAAATTTATCTTAAACTAGTCTTGCAATATTGCAAGACAAAATCAAACTGGATGTTATTCATAAATACATTGTTTCTTATTTTGTTAGCAAAAATTTTTCTAAAATCTTTTTTGTTTGTTCAAAGAATTTTATAATTTATTAAAGACCACAATGCATCTCTGCCTCCTAATTAAATTGTGTACATTTAACTTATTTTTTTCCATTTATTCAGCTTTTATTCTTCATGTA